AACAACCATTATGCTCTGTGTTAAGTGCAAAAATGAAGTCGTGTTTGTTAAAGTCTGAGGGGAGTATAATAGAAGGAAAGAAGAAATTTGAAATGGAATTCACCCTTCAGCTAAGTCGTTGGGTTAGACAATTTTTTTTTTTTTTTGAAACAGAGTCTTACTTTGTCACCCTCAGTAGAGTGTCGTAGTGGCACAGCTCACAGCAATCTCCGACTCTAGGTCTTAAGAGATTCTCTTGCCTCGGCCTCCCAAAACTACAGGCGCCTGCCACAACACTTGGCTGTTTTTTGTTGTAATTCTCACGGCTGTTTTAGCTGTTTTAGCCAGGTTTGAAACCGCCATCCTCAGTATATGGGGCCAGTGCCCTATCCACTAAGCCACAGGCACCTCCCAGGGTTAGATAGTTCTTAAGGTTCTTTCTGACCATTCTGGTGAAGAGATGTTTCTCTGTATTTCAGAAAGTGGTAGAGAGAGAACTGGATGCTCTTTTGGAACAACAAAACACCATTGAAAGTAAGATGGTCACTCTCCATCGAATGGGGTAAGTCTGGGCCTCAGCAAGAGCTATTGTGAACTCCATTGGACAAATAACCATTTTTCATTACTGTTGTAAACTACCGGTTGATTTCAAAATGTAAATAAGGATTACCTTAAGGTAAAGTGTCTATTTCAGTGGTTCCTAAAAAGTTCTTAGATCAGCAGTAGCATCACATAGAAATTTCTTAGAAATGCAAGTACTCTGGGAAGCCAAGGTGGGTGGATTGCTTGAGCTCATGAGTTCAAGACCAGCTTGAGCAAAAGCAAGACCCTGTCTCTACTAAAAATAGAAAAATTGGCTCAGTGCCTGTAGCTCAGGTGGCTAAGGCACCAGCCACAAACAACAGAGTTGGCAGGTTGGAATCCAGCCTGGGCCGACAATGACAACTACAACCAAAAAATAGCCAGGCGTTGTGGCAAGCGCCGATAGTCCCAGCTACTTGGGAGGCTAAGGCGAGAGAATTGCTTAAGCCTAAGAGTTGGAGGTTGCTGTGAGCTATGATGCCACAGCATTCTACCAAGGATGACAAAGTGAGACAACTTGAGGCTCTGTCTCAAAAAAAAAAAAAAAAAAGAAAAACTAAGGCAGAGGTCCTCAAAGTTTTTAAACAGGGGGCCAGTTCACTGTCCCTCAGACCATTGGAGGGCCAGACTGCAGGCCCCTAGACAAGTTGGCTGCTAAGCAGGACAGGCAGCAGCAGCAACCTGGCGGGCGGGATAAATGTCCTAGGCGGGCCGCAGTTTGAGGATGCCTGAACTAAGGCAAGAGGATCGTTTGAGCCCAAGAGTTGGAGGTTGTTATGAGCTATGACACCATGGCACTCTACCAAAGGAGAAAGCTTAAGACTCTGTCTCAAAAAAAAAAAAAAATGCAAATTCTGGGACCCAATTCCAAACTTACTTAATCAGAACATCTAGTGGTAGAGTCCAAGAATGTATATTTGAACATGCTTAGCCAGTGATTCTGATATACAACTCAAGTTTGAGAACCACTGTTTTTATAGACATTTTGTATTTACCAGTCATAAAAATTGCTCTTTGCTGTCCTTATCCTCTTAGATTATTGGTTAGTACATTTTATGCTCAGTCAGCAATTGAGAGAATCTGTTACCTACTTCATAGGCTATACCTAATTAAGAATATCTTTAGCCGAATGCGGTAGGTCATGCTTGTAATCCCAGCACTCTGGGAGGCCGAGGCAGGTAGATCACCTGAATTCACGAGTTCCAAGACCAACCTGAGCAAGACCAACACTTAAAATAGCCAGGCGTTGTGGTGGGTGCCTGTAGTCCCAGCAAGAGAGTCACTTGAGCCCAAGGGTCTGAGGTTGCTGTGGGCTATGATACCATGGCACTCTACTGGGGGTGACAAAGTGAGACTCTGTCTCAAAACTTAAAAAAAAAGGATATCTTTAGTAGTTGTAGAAGTTTATTTTTTGTTAAATATAGGTCTGAGTTAAAGTAAAATAACTTGAGAAAAAGCTGTGTATAGAGGGAACTGAGCTATGAGTTGTGAGGAGGTATAAAAGAAGTAGAAGATATAGGCTCCATAGGAAGAAAATTTCCATTTCTTACTCTGCCCCTGTGGATATGTATGTGCTGACAATGTGTGTCTCCAGTCCCAACCTGCAGTTGATTGAGGGAGATGCAAAGCAGCTGGCTGGAATGATCACCTTTACCTGCAACCTAGCTGAGAATGTATCCAGCAAAGTCCGTCAGCTTGATCTGGCCAAGGTAAATACCACTGAGTTTTTGATGTCTGAGTTAGCAAAGGGCACTAAAGAAGCTACTACAGATCAGAGCAGTATCATCCAATGGAAATCTAATGTGAGATAACAAAGCCAAAGAAAACTCTGGATCAATAGCTTTTATGAATATAGACATAAAAGCCCACAACAAAACACTAGCAAAGGCTCAGTGCCTGTAGCTCAAGTAGCTAAGGCACCAGCCACATAC